AATTCTAACTCTTGTAAGTCTTCCTTCACTTCACGTCTAAGCTGAGATCTACAGCCCCGTCCTGTGACTGATGTGAATCTCAAACACATTGGACTGCTACGAATACGCACACTAATCCCGTATATATATATTACACATGTGACCACGCGCACACAGAAGCCCGTCTGTATATTCTCTGGCACTCGTTTTCATCTGGTCCCAGCCTGTTGTAATATATTTCCCAGCATGTGTTGACCCAGTGTCCTGAATGTGAATCCAGAGAGGGGAGGTGGGAGAAAGCCCTTTGTGGATGCAAAGTAGTTCATCATCATGGGAATCCACACACACACACACACACACACACAAAGTAGGTGAGTCAACAACGGAGCGTCTGTCCAGGTTCGGGCTGACTCCAGACCAGTGCCGCTGAAGAATGTTGCTACATCTCCATGAATTACTTGTTTTATTTGGAGCTCAGATACATTTTTTTGTGAAACTGGTTTTAAAAAACAAGTAGTTTTATGTTGTATAAAGATGATATTTTTGGCATTTTTGTGGTGACTTTGCGGTAACGCTGTAACCATTCGCCCACCAAGGCCCCCCCATCGGTGGTCTGTTTAAATAACAATGAGCTCATAACGCCGTCTGAACTTCTAAGGTGGATTTTATGAGCTTGAATACCAATGAGATCATTCAGTCAGATGGGGTAGAGTTTGTCACAGTTGCATTTTGAACATAATGTGATCACGTTCTTGATAGAAGTGCTCACCAGTTGATGGAACCTAATTACTGCAGCATGTCATGATTGGATTACTTGCATCGCTCACATCGTTGAGGGTGATAAACCGTATCTGGAACGTTTGTTAGGATCGTCATTCACAGCTCCAGCTGTGCACTAAAGTGTTGAGGCTTTATTCATCATTTTTTTACAATGTGTTTTATGTTTGGGTTCTAAAGTTCACAGTACACAACTGCAGCATTGCCGCCTCTGCCAAATGCTCATTTTGAAATGTGAGGAACTGGAGTCTGGCCTGGGATCAGATTCACGGACAGTGTGTTTGCCAGTAGACATGGGAGCGGGTCTCAATGAGATGATTACATCTCAGTTAAGTGTGTGTGTGTGTGTGTGTGTGTGTGTGTGTGTGTGTGTGTGTGTGCTTTTAGTCTTTGTGCTAAGCTAACCAAACTATCTGCTAACTATAGCTTCTTATTTACTGCATAAAACGGACACTTTTCTGAAAGTACGCGTGTTGTCTGCTATAAATATCTCCACCGCTTCTTGGATCCTGCATGTTTTAGGCACTTTTAATTATTACAAAGTGCTCTGGTCCTCCCTCCCTCCCTCTCTCCCCCGTCAGCACATCTCCCCTCTGTGGTTACTGTTCATGCCGTTTCATGCATTATTGAAGAGCCGACCATGACGAGTCGGCTTCACCTTTTCCTCCCGCAGGAGCACGCTTCATAGCTTCGATGGTGATCGCTGACCCCGTCTAGACCTCCTTCACTGGCCTGTGGATTGTTTGTGCATAGATGGACAAGTGCGTATCCAGAGAGTTTAAAGGGAAACGAGGAGTCAGCAGAAAATGAGCCACTATGCTTCATTATTATTGTTTACTGGCCGGTTGTCTCCGTCTTTGTTCTTGCTCTCGTTACAGCAGAGCGGAGGAGACCGGTCGTCCGTTTCTTTCTTCTTCGTGGGTATTGTCGTGTGCACGGAGAATGCTGGTAGCTCTGTTTCTGAAAGGTTTCCACTGCTCCCCACAGTGTGAGGATGTACGTAGCTGGAACATTTGAACGCTATGATGATGACTTTACCCAAAACAAATGAGAGAACTTGTTTGATTAATATTTAAATAATTGATTCAATCATCTTATGCTAAAAACAAACCAATGTAACAAGATGATGAGCCCTCTTAGTCAGAAAAATACCAGAGCGCAAATTCAACAGGATTGCTGAGACGCACAGATTAGTTTAATCACTGAATATCACAGCAGCAGTACGTTCACTGAAGTATTTGACCTGAAACGTAGTATGGCTGTGACTTGGGATTGATATCACGACTGGAGTAATATGCAGTGAAGATAATCAAATGTGCTTTTGCATCAGTGTGGGTTAAGAGAAACGATTTACAGACTTTAACAGGCGGTAACGTTTGTTAAAGCTGTTTTCTCTCTCATACATGGCCGTCAACAGAACATGTAAAGAGGCGGAATGACGACGTTGGATAATGCATGCTGCAACCCAATGTTATGTTGGCATAACGGCATTGGGGTTTACATTATTTTCAACATTGGGGCTATGAAAAACATTTAGAAAATGTATTTAAATGACGACTTCTCCCCAAAGCTCGCTCCACACGTTGATGATCCTGATGGAGATCATGCTTTAGTGGACAAATTGTTGCGGGATGTTTTCACTCTCGTGCATAACGGTCATGCTGATGTGTTAAGTCATTTCCAATTTGCAGTTTACAGAGCACCACATTGTTGAGTCTCCTTTTCAGATCCACACTTCAGAGGATAACAGGCGAGCGTATCTAGCTGCAGCTGGTTCTGCAGGGGAAAGCATGCTTTTGAAGGAGCGCAGACACTTTCACGTCATGCAAAAGTATTTTTGTAACCGATGACATTTGTTTCAGTCGAGGAATCGTCCCAGCCACAATGATAAGACGCCGTACCCACGCGTAGCCACTTCATAAACATGGAAATTGCTGTTTGTTACAATAATTGCACAGTGTTAGTTGGCACCAAGTGTACTCCGTTCCCCTCTGGGTTGTCTGGAGTGTCTGGTCATTAAGATGGTCACTCGTAAGGACTTGCTGTCCCCTTTCTTTTGTGAACAAATACTTGACTTAAGGTTTAGTTTTCTGACGTAGACAACCACATCTTTGAAATGGAAAGATGTCCCTGGTTAAAGGCATTGTGGGTGGAGAGGAGATTTGACAGACATATCGGGGTTTCTCTGCATTTCTGTGTGTAGAACGTACAATGGAGAACAAACACTGTGCTCATAGCATATAGTAGCAGTATATGCATCTTGTTCAGTCTGATCTCTATTGAGAAACATAATGCGGTCTTCCTGTCCATTGAGAAGCAGGCGGACATATTGATTCTGCACAAGAGTTCACTTTCACAGTTTTAACTCGTTCCAGTGGCCCTCGACAGAATAATGATGCCGTGGATTTTAACGAGTCCGTTGTGATGTAGTGTCCATATCCTCATCGGAGAGCGCACACACACACACACACACACACACACACACACACACACACACACACGAGGGACCCTTTTAAGTCGTCCCTTTTCGAGATGGTTGTTTAATGGAGGGATTACTGTTTTTCATCCTGCTGGTGCTCTGAATGATGCCGTTTGAAGTGATTCAACAGATGGTTTAAAACGGTGAAGGCCTTCTGGTGGCCCAAAGGGTTTCTTTGGGGTTAGTGTGTGTGCTCACTGGCAGGCAGGTCATGGCGATGCCACTCATTGTCAGGTTCAAACGCCTGTGTCCTTTGGAGACTGACTCGTGGTGGTACCTGTGTGTTTGCTCTTTCATACTCTTTTCTATGTCTGCTCTTTCTCTGACTTTGATGCCACAGTCTGTATCCCTGCGTCTGCTTGATGGGGAAGAGTAAATGAAGGCAAATGCCTTGAAGTTTCACTGCATTTAGCATACTTGCTTGCTTGCTGTGACATTTTTACTGCACTTTCAGAGAGCGGGCTTTTGTTATCCCCTTCCTCTTAAAACCCCGGGCACCATCTGTTGTCATTAGTGTCCAGCATCCATGATGTAGCAGCGCTGCTGTCTCTGCCTTCCTCTCTCTTGCAGTCTTTGCCACCCATTGCATGTTACTCTCAGAGGAAAGGCCAAATGTCTAGATTCAACTATCAACTTGGAAGCTGCGCTGAGATACTACATGAGGAAATAGATACTTTAGTGTTCTACTACATTAGAAAGATGTGTTGTCCCGATTCTCCATTTGCACGATGCTATTTGACTTTCAATTTTAAGTTCACAATTCCATATTCTTTATTTAAACATTTACAACCTAGGTCTGGTCTGTTTAATAAAGCACGCAGACGATTGCCTGTCCACTTAAAGTGCTTCGATCAGGATTTTTTGGGCAGATCATCGCTGGAAGAAGTATCGGCCGATCTGATCACGGGTCTATTTGATGCTACTTCTCGGCAGCAAGGGATTCTGCTCTGTGTCTCTGTGTGTGTGCGTGTGCGTGCCTCACTCTCTTTAGACACGACTGACAAATATCTGCAATAAAAGCGTAATTTAAAAAAGATAATCACAAACAGCAGTGATACTAGACTCGAGTAAAAAAAATAGACCAGACGGATGTTGAAAGTATCGCTGTGGATCTCTAGTCCGCCGAAGGGCTGTTCAGACGGGATGAGATGAGCCGCTGTGAGCGCCGCCCGGCTTGGTGCTTATAATTGGGGAGGTGGGGGGGGGGGGTGGTGTGCGTCCAGCTGTTTCGCTTGAGAGTCTGCCTTTGTAGAGACCTCGAGTCAAACTATTCAGAACTAAAATCAGCCGATAATGATCGATGGATCGGAGCACCCTACTGTCCATGGTGCGTTGGCATGTGACTGAAATAAGACGCTAACATCAGCTGAGTGAATTTATTAAATAAAGCAGTCCTCAAGCGTAGCATAACCGTGTCATATGACACATGCTACTTCAGTACACTTAAAGAACAAAAAAACAAACCTGGGACCACGACATAAATATGCAGATGAACATTCAGTATCCAGGACTTCACATTATAGACATTTGCCATGGCGCGTGTGCCTTGTCATTTTAGTTACTTCAGGAGTATGGTAGGTGTGATTAGGGGCTGTGTATTTAGTTTTTAAGGTTGAGAATGATTTAAATGTAAACAGGAGGTCATTTTTTTGACTTTGCAAATATTTGTGCTTGTTTGATTTAATAGCGTTCCTCTCTCTCTCTCTCTCTCTCTCTCTCTCTCTCTCTCTCTCTCTCTCTCTCTCTCTCTCTCTCTCTCTCTCAGATCATATAAAGCGTAAGATTCGCCGGCGGCCATCCTGGGGGCGGGGCATCATCCGTAAGAAGAGGAGCTACAGGAAGGAGACGGAGGAGGGGGAGGCCGAGGCGGAGGTCGCCGTGCCCAGTGACTCGTGTCTGACGCAGGATGAGGAATCGTCTTGTGATACCATGGGCCCCCAGCCCAATGGCCACCATCCCCACGGCCCCTCCACAGAGGAGGAGAGCTCCAACGAGCCCCCTGTCGCAGCTCCTGCCGAACCTCCAGATGCCAGTGAGGCCCGAGAAGAGCCGGAGGAGGAGGCGCCCGAGAACACGGAGAAACACACCGAGCTGCATTGCCTTGGTGGCAGTTCTGAGCCCGAGGCAGACGGCGATGGCCATGCCAAGCAGGCCCACCTCAAGCCTCCGATGGAAACGTCCAAATCTTCATGTGCAGAGGTCCAGCCGAAGCACGCGGAGGGTCTCTTAGTATCACGAGCGGGCTGCGTGAACGGAAACGAGTCGATGGACAGCCTGGACTCGCAGAGCATCAAGAGGAGCAGCGAGGCTGAGAAAAGGAGTCCTCGGAGCGTGACGGAGCGCTCTAATGAACCAGAACAGGAAGAGCACAAAGACAAAAACGAGAGCAATCCAACTCAGGAGCACCCACCCCAGCATGGGAGAGCAGTAACGGAGAACGCTGAGGAAGAGAGAGATCCAGAAGGTATAACGCTTAAACCAGGAGTCTTCTGTGAGCCAGCACCAATACCACAACTGGTTCATTAAAACAAACAGCTTTTAGTTCCTCTTATCAATGTTATAATGTCTTCAGCATTCCCTCAAAATTCAGATATGCAGGTACATAACATCGTAACCTAGTTTGCCCATCTGTCACTCTGGAGAGGCTATTAATCACCGAGACGGATAGTCTTCTCCAGAAGCTGATACTCTAAACTTTAACTCCATCTGAAGGGAGTTATTAAGTGAGAGAAAGTTCTCAGAGACTTGTTTTGCTCTCAAGATTTTCGTTGCTAATCACTTGATCTTCACAGTAGATATGCAATTATGCGACTTAACAAAATCTGTACATTTCACACATCCAGTCAGTGCTTTGCCCACCACTTAATTATGCAGATAAATTACTTTTTTGATTATGAACCAGCTCCTCTGATTTGCACTTGGTATATCTCTTAAAATGGAGAGCGGACATGAATAATGCAACATAAGTCATACAGGATATAAAAAAGCAACCCCCTGGCTCAGCAGATAGTAGATTTAAATGGAGGAACTCCGGGGCCTTGAAATTATCGGTGCCTTTGTAGACGCATGTCACCTTCTGATATGAATCCTGATATTCACAATGCTGGCTTTTTTTCTCTCCTTTTGCCCTGAGCCACGATGCCCCTTCTATTGTTGTGTAGTATTTCAGTCGGAGATGAGCCGATGCGATTGTGTGTCTGATTGTGGGCCTGCGGTTTGGCTCTGGATGAGTACGGGCCAGCTGGAGAGCTGAGGTAATGGCGCTCCTAGAATACGGAGAAGCCGTCAGAGGATGGCACGATCAGCCAACAGAACACAAACAAAACAGACGACTCCGGCTGCTCCGCCCCCCTTATTACAAGCCGAGCCAGGCCCTTTTGTTTCCATCAAAGCGTTTCTTCAGCACTGTTCTAAATGGACAGGAAGGAGACCAGATGTGAAACACTGTGCCCTCGGTAGCTGCGAGTAGCTTAAAATAGATTTTCCTCAAGTATTGCATTCATCTTGCAGCCGCGGCAGTTGGAATTTATTTTCCTTGAAATGACATTTGTGCTTTCTCACTGCTTCATGACAAACACCAAAATAAGTTTGAAATGTAGCTCAGCCGTTCACCGGAGGTGGTTTTCTTCTAGCACACTGTATGGATTCCTTTATGACCCTCATTATTAACCCTTTCATCAATAATCCATTTGTCTTTTTATTGGAGGTTCCACAGCCGAGACGTGCAGGGTGAGCCCGTCGGAGCAGGGGTCTGCTGAAAAGACGGAGGAAGAGCCACAACCAGTCGCTCCCCAGCCTCCCTTAGTGGTTGACCACCAGCGACTTTCGGTAAATATTTCCATAAATACGGTATTTTGTCCATTTGCGGTGTATCAGAACATGAAGTTCTCGGTCTGAAGGCTACTGCTTTGAGGTATCGGTACAGAAACCAAAGAAAGCACAGTTCATTGAGGTTCCTTTGCCTGCTTCAGGGTCCCGGCATTGTGCATGCTGGTTCACTGTCAAACTGTCATGGCCGACTGGGACAATAGAACGGAGCAGTCATGAATGAAGTCTGTGCTTTTCCTTCTAGGGAGAGTAAATGTAAGAATTATTTAGTGTGCCCTGAGAGTTATAAAAAAAGGTCCTCTATTAAAATTGCAAGAAATTCAATTTGGGGGTCCTTGAGACCATTTTACTAATGTCAGTTCACTGCAACTTAGTGGCGCGGGTGAATATCTCCAAGTTTATTTGATGTCTACTCTTATGGCAGTAGATTGTCAGCCTGATCTACATTGTCCGCTGTCTGGTCACATGTGCATTTGTTGTGTTACGGCAGCATCTGTTTAACATGTTTTGCTTTTCTTTATTTTATTAATTTAATGACGCTGGCTGCAGGGGACCACCTTCAGTGATTGGTTAGAAAACCCCTCATAGCCCCTCTAGAGCTAACACATTCTTTCCTCTTGCGACCCACCGAGATTTCCGCTTTTCTTTTTTTTTTTTAAACCCCGTGCGTGCCCCATCCCCATCCCGCTTGATTCTACACGCTCATCATTCTAATTCACACCATGAAGGATGCAACAGCTGGGCTGCTTTGGCTTTGTGCACCGACTGTGGATGGGAGATTTAACTGCTACTGTGATCTGTATCAAAGCGATGATCTGCTAACGGGAAGATGAACATTCTTAAGGGGAAAACGCAGTCGCACACAATGGTCCACGGTCATTTATTGTGATCGTGATCACCTCGTGTATTCACTTATTTCAGCAGCGAGCAATCGGTGTTGTGTTACAGCACATTCTGAAATATACAGACGGAAGCTACAGTGTAGTTAATATACTCACTTTAGATTTATTATATGTAGACGTGAGGCTAAAAGGAGATGGTAGATGTCTCTCAGCAAAAGTAAACGCATATCCCACCAGTAAATAAGATGTTGAAATATAGACTTATTTGGTTTCAACAGAGCCAGCTGTGGAAAACTGTCACATTTTGCAACTGTCTAATTAGACTGTGATTATGGAAAAGAGGAGCTATAATCTAAAAATGATACCAATATGCTCGTCTCATTGCAGTTCATACGGGTGCTTGTTTAAATGTTGCTGGCAGTGTGTGGGTGAAGGGCTCTGGAGTGTTTTCCTCCCCCCTGCTGTTACAGGGAACAGCTGTATTTCTATACTCGCTCATCGCTTCCTATAGACTTCATATGGACTGTCCAATCGCTCTTTGTGCTCCGACATAAATATGCAGAAGCAGCAGAATGAATGTGCTTTGGGTTAGAGTTAAGGCCGGCTCGCGTTATCTGCAGGGAGCCAGCAGAGGTAGCGAGACCCGTCATCCCATTGTCTTGTGGCATGCCCTGTCACGTGCTGTATGCTGCTCATCTCAGGAACCTTCTGCACTTAGTTCCTCCCTTTGTCCTCTGTGCTTTCTATGGCTTCCAAATATAGAAAAATTTCAATAGAATTTGTATCTGGAAAATTAGAATTCCACCATTTTTTTTTTTTTTTTTTTTTTAAACGGCCTCGAAGGAAGGACATTGACCATCTTTTTGTGGAGTAGGATGTGAGGTGTGGGGGGGGGGGGGAACTCAATCATGGATGACCCGCCTTAAACTTCCTCCAGATCCATAGGTCTGTTCTGGAGCTGGTGCTGACACACTGCCCTTCTCAGATGGATAACTTCTGAGGCTTATCCCTCCTTTCCTTTCACCCGACGCCGGTGCCACTGTGTCTGTCTCTCTCTCTCTCTCTTCCATCTTTCAAACATCAATTTTGTATCCCCGCTGTCCGACCACGGAGGGAGCCAATTACGGTAGCAGACCGTTTTCCGCATCTCTCAATCAGCAGGTGCCGGTCCTGCGACATCTGAAGGAAACAAGGTTATGACTCAAACATGAGCTTCTCTCTCTGCCTCACTAGAGCCGCCAACTTGTCCCGGGATGTGTGCAAGTGCCAGAGAGCATATGAAGCAGCTCTGTGTGGGGTTTTTTTTTTTTTTTTTGTGCACAGTCACGCTAGGGTCCCACCTAATACCCCAAGTATAAATTGGGAGCTCGGCTCAGTGGGCTCCGCTGACGGCGCTTCTCACTGATCGGGTGCTGGGGGGCTGGCTTGGCTTTTGGGGGCTCTGTGTCGTGTAACTCGTGTAAGAGAAGTGTTCTTCTGACATGTGCTCACTTCTCTCCTCGATGCTCTGAAGTGACATCCAGCCATCGGGCCGTTATCTAGTGGCTTTTACCTCCCCGTCCCGTGGAGACGATGTAGAACCGGACCCCCCGTCTTTCAGACTGATTGACAGGCTTTTTAGTTGGCCTGATCCAAGTGCTTCAACTGGCTGCCCCTGTGAGCAGCCACACACGGCACTAATCTGGAGGTCTGTTTGTTAGCAGGGGGAAGACGGGGGATATCTTAAAGAAACAGATCGTGAAAAGAGGGGACTGTGAATAATTGCTTTTTCATCCCTGGCTTACGGAACAAATTGAATATCCGGTGCGCAGGATGAAAGTCACCATTTAAGCAGATATTTGCTGGCAGGGCTGGGACTGGCATGCTGCCCGATGTGTGTTAGGGCCCGCAGTGAGTGTTGCACTGTTCCTCCTCCGTCAGTCGCATTCATTGATTGCAGAGGGCTGATTATTTCTGACTTTTTCCTTGATGGAAGAGGCTCTGAAATCTCTCTGGAATTGAACACCATCAATGTTCTGGGTTTGTTCACAGACCCTCCACTCGACGCCTGTAGGACAGAGATTATTATTATTATTAGTAGTGGTATTATTTCAGTATCCGTCTCTCAGCGCCATGGCCCTGTTATTTGCTCTGATTAATTTAGTAAAATCAAGTTCTGTTATTGCCAGCTTCCCTGAAACGGTGCTCGATGCTGTTGGGATGAAAATGAACTCCTGGGCATGAATAAATAGGTCCGGATGCTTCTCTCGCTGCTCCAAAACATCTCTTATTGTCAGCTGTTTTCTTTCATCAATAATCAGACGCTTGTCCACAGATGGGACTGGAAGAAGTCGTGCTGATGATTGCAAATGAGAATTCAGTAGCAAGAAATCCAATCTGGCCCGGGCAATTTTTCCTCCTGCTCACCGAGAACATGCGGATTACGGCGTGCTCGGCTGTTTCCTTCAGCAGCTGCCTAGAAAGAGCTAGTGTTCCTAGTCGCTGGCACAGTGCGGCGTCTTTTGGCTTGACGCGTAGCTATTACAGCGCGTCAGTATTTCCCATTCTAGAGAAGCCTGTCAACAGAAATGGCCCCATTTCAGTTTGTCGTCTTTCTTTATTTTATTATTTTTTATATATAATAATAGCGGGGGGGCCCCTCTGGCGAAGTCTCCATACAACATCTGTCTGTTCAAAAGAGACCAGCTTAATAGCAGTGTTGGACCAGCGTTTGATTGTCAATAAAAATAGATGGCGTTTGAAGTGGTTGTTTTATTTTCATTCATTCCCACTGATGGCTCTGACAATGTGGCTATCTGCATGTAATTGCACCACCGAAGCTGTGCCTCGGAGCCATGCGCGTGAGGGGCCAGCAGTGTCGACAGCTCACGCCACGTAAACACAGCAGTGTCTTCTTGCTCGTCTGTTGTTTTCCCCCCTCTTGCCCAGCCTGCCGGCCTCTCGCGGGTCTCACGTCTCACGCTTCCCACTCAGGCCGTGGCTTCAGGTCAGTCACAGACAAATTAAAGGTTGAGACTGTGGATGAGTGGTACAGTACATGAGCGTTATAGTGGCCAACAGTATTGGTCTAAACACAACCCCTGTATAGCATTTGGGTTGATGGAAACATTGTGTAGCTGCTGGAGGGAATATAATGCTATTGGAGCGCTATTACGTTGTTAGTTGATAGCCAAGGTGGGAAATCTAAGTCAGCGTGAAGTATTACCCAACAAACATTACTCTCTGGCCATTTAGTGTCTTGCATTTGCTTTCAATTACCAATTAAGGCACACATTGATAGTGAATATAACAGGAGGTTTACAGTACATTTCTGTTGCCATGGGATGTTGGAGATGTAACCCTTTAAACCCCGGCAGGTTCAGGGTGCTTTTGCTTCCGTTACATTTTTCCTCACCGTGCTCTCGTCTTTCATACATTTCTTCAACCTCTCCTCTCTGCTCGGTGTCACTGGGTGTTCATCACGTGACTGTCTCAGCCGAGTCATTCATTCGCTTCCCAGTTGCGCTGACGAACGCGTAATATCGTGTTTGTTTTTTTTAGTTTTTTTTACAGGATCTGGTGAGAGCCAACGGTTTCACATCTTTAATAAACATTTAGAGAATAGTTTTGATGAAATATCACTATTTTAAGCTTAGACTCATGATTGTTCAAGGACCATCAGATAAGTGTAAATGTTTCTACAGGCTACGATAACTGCACACCATCTTTAAAGAACACATGCCTTTTCAAACCCTCCGGCGGGTTGTGGGTTTCAGTGCAGTTCTTCCAGGATCTACGTGTTTGTGTAGTCTGGAAACATATTCTCATAATGCGTAAAACTGTCTGAAATGCTTGGTGCATGGTCAGCATGTTGCACTGTTTCAACACACACACACACACATCGGTGCGTTTGTGTAGAAAACTTCGGGTGATTTTGCAGGGTGTGTGTGGAGGTGCGTTTGTGGTTATGCTGCAGTTTTCTCCCTTTTATTACCTGGTGATATTGTATCTGTTGGAGCTGTTTTATGAAATATTAAATTCATTCCTGAAGCCTGCTTTCCAAACATTGTATTTCTCTCATGCATATCTCTTTTATTGAATGCAATCTTTATTATTTATTTATTTTCCTCCCAAAACCACAGAGAATGGAGTAAAGGTTGCTTCATCATCTTTACATTTCTCATTATTCCTACCTTGACCTTAAGTGGATAATAGTTGCATTTTATTCTGATATTTGGCCGAAGCCTTCACAAAATAAAATTCATTAAACCACATTGCTGACACAGTATTCCGTGATGTCAGAGCAGGATTTAATGTCAAACGATTGCATCGCTAGCCTGGCGGGGATGGATCAACACCACAGCGGTTGAGACAGACGCAGTAGTTTGGTCAGTTTGTGTCTCTGTTGACGCTTAAAGAGGAAGACGGTGCTTTCAGTAGTTGAAATTCATCTTAAATACAGTACAGCCTGACCCATGACGGCTTTTGAGGCTGAAGTCGACATCGATATTTGGGAGACTCAATGAAGATATGTAAGCTGTAAGCAAACATGATACAAACAAACAATCTTAACATGAGATCCTTACTTTTTATTACTGTTTATCATGATTAATTTACTGCATGTCCATGTAATCAGTGTTTAGATGAGCCCCTTATTAAAGAAGTGACTACCTTATGTCCTGGTCCAGTTTATACCCTGTTCAGGGAACCCGCCCTTAATCTCAAAGCTCCACATTGATTCAACACAACTCTTTTATTGATCTTTGCCCGACACAGTTTTATTTCTTGTTTATTTATTTATACCTTTATATTTTATGCATTTGTACCGACTGGGTCTCAGATGTGCCGTTACTGGTGAATTTACCATTTCCATATCGTGAATGTCTGAGTCACATTAAAATCATGAGGAAACGCGTTGAAACACTGTCACTGGATTATGTTTATTAATACGTTAAATCATGTAGTTTGATATAGATCTCGCACAACGGAGCTGTGGCATGATATCGTGTACGTTTTCCTCCTTTTCTACTGAAAGAAGAGGCTGCACAGCCATCAAACAGCTGTGAATCTATCAGTGATCTGACTAAAGCCAACCATTAAAGATGAGTCGTCAACCCTGCAGGGGTTTTTACATGCCCAGCCACAAGGGATGACCATTTCATTTTAATGTGCTGAGCCGGTGGTAATCTGATTTGTCATGATCGTCCCTGACCCTGATAACACCGTCTATATTGCATTACCTGTGTGACCGGCTGCTCTCTTGAAAGCCACATAATTTGCCACTGCGGCTGGAATCGTATTCTTTTTCTCCAGCAAATCCCCCGTCCACCAGTGTCACAGCCACACTCCTCCCAGATTAAAGGCTTTCATGGTAACAAGCAGAGCAGAATCATTTGAAAAGGTAGAACAGGAAGAAGGGACTGAATTGGTCTCTTGGAGGCAGATTTTGAAGGCTTAATAGTGTCCCTGGTGACGGTGACTGTTGGGCTTCAAATCCTTGTTTCTCTCTCTCTGCCTGCTAACCCTTTTTGTCACTCACACACACACACACTGCCAGTGAAGCATCTTTCAGTGATCAAAGAGGAAGACCCTCTATATCACAGTAACCTCCAGTCTGCATGTGTGATTGTTTCTTGTTTGAAAACTTAAAGCACAGAATTATATTACCGTCAGTATTATATAATTACATTAACAGTATTGGTTTTTCTTTTTTGGGAAAGGATATGATACTGTTGGATGAGCTCACCGTGACATTTTACTAATTATGTAAAGAGAGCAACTCGACACCAGTGAATCTGTTGCTGGTAGCCAGTGGTTGAGAATCCCATGTTTATAAATGTGTTGTATGTGTTCTGTAACCCGTAGACTCCATGTAGACCGATGCAGACGTTTCTTTACCTTGCCGTAACAAATGGCACAGGGCTCCAATTGGTGTCCCAAGAGCAGCATGAAGAGTTTGAGGACCGTAGACCCAGTGGGGCCTTTATTATCTCCCAGTGAGCCTAACCCGGCCTGGAGGGTAGATGGTGTGAGAGATGTCTGTGCAGCGGGTAGATTGTGTGACTAGAATGGTTCCTGGGCAACGGGGTTGAACGCTGCAACACGGTGTGATTAAGTGTGTTGGTTTCCAGTCTCCAGCCTGAACCAGTCGCATGAATCCCCTCTTGTTTATTTCCGCCAGGCGTAAGCGTCACGCATTTTGATCGCGTGTGCGTGTCCGTCTGTCCGCAGCTGATCTCGCACTACTACTGGACCCATCGGCCTAATATTTCTTTCGCACATTTATTACTGTACCCGCTTTAAGGACTTATTGTATTTTGCGGTGATTCACAAATTTAGAGGCCAGTTAGAATTCATCAGACGTGAGAATAAACCAGTGTTAATTAGTCGTCGGGTTACAATACATCCTGGAAGTTATAACACACGGGCAGAACTTTGCCACTCGTATAACTCCATGAACCATTAGTCTACTTTGTTCCCTCCGCTGTCATCACGAGCCCCCTTAGCTCTAGATAGAGATGCGAGTAAAGATGCGGGGTGGCGGGGTTAAATGGTCCATGTCAGTAGCAAGCTTTAACGCATGGGATTACTGCCCTTTTGTGTCCAGCTCACTCACTCCATCACCGAGCCTGTGTAACACACACACACACACACACACACACACACACACACACACACACACGCACGCACACTATTTACCCCACACTATCACAGCCATCCTGATCAAGCCGACAGGCGCTGGGAAGTACACTGCTGCAATCAGCTAGCTAACAGTAGAGGAGAGAATACACCGAGGCGACAAACGGAGAGGCAATCAGCACGGACAGGAGGAGGAGGAAACATAAGAGGAGGAAAAGTGTTGGTTGCGAGCCTCTATATAAAACATTGAAATAGGCAGGAGGTGAGACAATGCACTATTAAACAGTGAAATGCACTTAAAGACAGAGACGGGGACATAATGAAAAATGGAGTGGAATGCAGTGGCGGTTGGATGAAAGGAAGGTCAGAGAAGTGTCTTCCAGAGACGTCCCCATTATTACGCATGTGTGAGACGGCTTGTAGTGATGCTAATTAAAGCTGTTAAAGCAGGCGTCTCACCGTCATGTCCTCCATTCGGTCCTCTGTTATGAGCTCTCATGGCTGCGTTGAAACCTGAGAACTCTCTTGATGTTAGATTATACAAAACATAACCTAAAATATGCTCAATACAGAGCGGCGGACAGCTGTGATGATCCTCATCACTTTGAATGAATTCTGAATATTAGGAGTTCTGAGTGTTCTCGGCTTCTGTATGCTCACTTTATTTGTCGAAGGACCTCCAGTTATTAGAGGCCAGGTGGAGGTTTTTATGTCAAAGGCATATTACCGGTGGATCATCCTGCTCGGGCCAGATTAATTTATAGAAGTGTGATCATTTGAAAGGTATTATCTACTCAATTACAGAGACAGGTTTCCAGGCTGTTGAGTTCAGTATGATAAGCGCCGACTGGAAGTCAAACTAAGAATGTGTGGGAAATGAAATTAGCTTTCAGGGATCTGAAAAGTTTTCTTCTTTACTCGATTTAAACCCAAGTTAATCTGCTATTCCAAATCTACTATTGTTAAAACATTTATGTAGATAATGGCACCATAAATAATTGTGGCAGTGCAGAAAAAATGTGTTTACCGCCTTCGGAGTTAAATATCCACCGAGTGTCTAATGGTGTAACCGGTGTCGTTTCTCACTCTTACGCTTGTTGTGCTCGGTGTGGAGCAGGACACTCTTTACGGGGTTGTAATGGCTTTCTGTGATGCAAATAAGAACAGAGATGCCGGCCTCTGACGAGCACTAATCATCTCCCCTGTCGCCCGTTACTTTTACTGGCCCTGACGGGTGTCCTCGGAGACTTCCTGAGACCCGTCGTCAGTGCTGCTTAACAACATCTTTGTACGTCGAGTACCTAAACATGGCACCGTGGACAGTTTTATACATTATGATTTTGCTTTTCATATTTTCCAAAATTATCTTGAAAGTTCATAACATTCCGGTTAAGAGCTTCGGGTCCCGGTGGATCTAAACTCCATTAGAGGAGTTAAAACACATCCCGACAAAGTGACGCGTTGCTCTCACGGTCGTGTCTGTGGTCCCGAGTTAAGATTCTGCTGAAGTATTTGTTGACGTGAAGCCGTCGTTGGCTCCTTTAATCGAGAGAACTGTTCTGTCGTTCCAACAGTCGGATGCGGTGCAGTGATTAATACAAAGACGACCTTTCTGACTCCGTCATTTCTCTTTTGCTCACTGTAATTATGTCTCAGACGCTCCGCTGATGAGCGGCTTTGACAAACATCCACGTTTTATTAATCTTGACATTGCCTCGGTTTTATGTGTTTAACGCTGTGGTCACTGCGTCTCTCTCTCTCTCTCACACACACACACACACACACACACACACACACACAAACACGCACCGTTTAATTCCTGTCCAGGTTCTTCTATTTGCCTTGCGTCAGTGACGGTAACTTTAATTATTGTGCCTTTGCCGTCTCAGTCCGTGCATTCTGATGAGCTCTGTGTTTAAATACACACACACACACACACACAGACACAGACACAGACTTTGGCTTGGGCAAAATGTGAGAAACGGGTCAATTAAAAGGGCCTTTGACTGTCCAGAATGTTTTAATTAAAGTAGCAGTGAAATGTAAACTTGGTTCTAATTATGATTAGCCTAAATTAGCTGTCACTCTGATCTTAATTGCATTTGAATAGAGCTGACCTCCAAATTCTTCATCGCCATGCACCACCATCGGCGCTTATCTCGTGCGACCAGTTATTCAGTGCTGTATTTTTGCCTGTTTTATTATTATTACTTGTTTCGCATATTAGTTCTGTGTCTTTTTAGGAATAAAAACCTATTTTGTTTGTCATGCATTTGTATCTCTTCCCCCCTCAGGCTCTACTGGGTACGGTGGTGATGAAGAGTGAGGGCTACAGCGTGGAGCAGCTGGAGAGACTGTACTCTCTCCTCAGCCAGTGTATCTACAAACACCGCAGAGAGTACGACAAGACCCAGCTACTGGAGGTGAGAGCCGCACTCCCGATGAAGGGATGAATCCAGGAAATAATCCGGATTCACCACATTTTATTTAGATGTCCAATCAGCGTTGATGGTAAATTGAGGCAACACATTTCTCAGTGCGAGCTCGCGGCGCCGTGCAGTTAGTGCCTACATATACCAGGATGCATTGGGGCACACGCTTCTGACACCCGGAAGGCCCCCCAGCCAGCCATATCGTCTTGAACGGATAATGCAGCCTCTGCCTCGCTCCACTGCGTTTCTTTTATGTCATAAAAAGACCATATTATTTATGGCATGTCAAAAATAAATCATCGTATAGTATGCCATTACAATATTTAAAAAATCCGACTATAGCATGTTATAAAAATGTCATAGAATAGTATGCCATAAAAAAGTTATAAAAAGTTATAGGATGTCTAAAAATATTGTTAAAAGTGAGTATATGACGCCATAAAAAGTCTCACTGTAATATGCCATAAAAAAGTAATAATTGTAAATGTGGGGACAGAAAGTAGGAGAACAATATGCAGCAAACAGTCCGGCCGTCAAACCGGGGACTCGCCACTAAGGACCTTTACGTCCACGGGGTACGACCCATAACCGCCCGGCTTTCGGTTCACCACCCCCCCGTTCTCATTTATAATCTCTCTCGACAGTGTTCCATACAGAAAAGGCTGCTGTATATTTTCCCAGAATCCCATCTGGTCATCTGCTGCCGCTGCTGTCGGATGTCAGTGCAGACAGCGGGCCAGGAATGGCAGTGTCCTGGTGCCGGTAGCCAGGGCTGGCTGTCAGGCTGTCAGAGGGAGGGGAGCAGTCAGCCAGGTGGTGCCGCCTGTCGACAGGCCGGCTGGTGGAGGAGGGGGGGGAGGGGGGGCGCATGTCTGGGTTCATCTCATACTGCCAGCCTAAATTGGTGTTTCCAGAGCAGAAATGTCAGCTCGCTTGGCACGTGTTTTGTTTGCCTGCGTTTCCTACACACATCTCGACTCGGCAGCGGGTCATCTCCTTGTTCCTCCCTAAGGGAATGCAAAACAATACACGCCCGTAAGCCCGGCTCATACTCAGTACGGCGGCTGAAGCCATTCCCACTTAATGCTGCGGCTGCGTGCTGTTTGTGTCTACATCGTAGAGACGAGTGAAATGGAGCGTGTCCACACATTTGTCTCCTTTGCTCGGCCTCGCCGTCCTCCTCTGGGTATGGCTTGTCTCGCTCTTCCAGTAGAGCTGACCTCTCAGCAGATGGAGTGGACTACACCCTGCTTCCAGTTAAAGCCAGAGGGACCGTCTCTGCCCCTGTACACAATAACACGGCAACTATGTTCCCGTCTACAAATTGGCGTTCGTATTGCCCTAGACCTAGCATTACAATTTGCCCGAGGCTCAGACAGCAATTTAAGACTTTGTAGGAGCCTTTGACCTTTTTAGCCTGAATGCGTGCACTGCCAGAGCTGCACATGCCACTGGCTGAAGTACAACATCACACGGGTTGGTTATTTCTCCACTTATTTGTGTTAATTGCTGAAAATGTTATCCGGCAGGTCATTTCATGTCTTTGAAAGCAACATCTCGGAGGCTGTGTCGATTGCAGAATAGTTCCTAAAACACGTTGGATTATCTTTGTGTCTTGTTCTCATCACAGCAGATAGGCGGTACAATGTGTGCTCTTTATATCAATCAAGGTAAACATCTGGCTCTGATTGTCAGACAAGGGGCTTCCTTTGAGACCTCCTCTGAAGACGTGTTGTACCGATGTTGTTGTCGTATATAAAGACACAATCATCAGGCAGAGATGTCCATTTCTCATCATCGAGGATCTGCTGTCAGTAGCTCGACAAAACGCACCTTCATCCAGACGCAATGCACTTGATTGTTCTCTCTCAACTCTCGCTTTTTCTTCTGAGTGAAAAAGAATAGATTGTTGTTGTTTTTGCTTTCTCACATGCACAGACGCCACAGAGAGCCCTGTTCTCTCAGGGGTTGTAGGAAATTTGATCTGGGAAATAGAGGAAATCGGTATCCGAGGTGGAAGTAGAGACGGCCGGTTCAAAGAAGGCGCAAGTAATTTACAAAACCGTTGTCCCAAATTGATGACATCTCGATGGCGATGCTGGGTTTCCTTTTAATGCACCGTATAGATGGCCCCGCTGGGAAATTAAACTCCTAAATCTGCAATTCTGCCATGCTGTATCTGTGGGGCGACGTGAGACAGACGGCGGGTACTGCAGAGACATGTTGGACTGTCTGCTGTGTGTTTTGGATGACGAGGCGATGGGCCTGTAGGCAGATGCACTCGAGATCACACATGTTGAAGACGTGTCGAGGGGACAAAGAGCTTACTTGCGCGTTGGTGTGCGAGAGCACAGTGAGTCTCTAAACGAGTGTGTGTGGGGGGGGGGGGGGGGGGGGGGGGGGGGGGGGGGATGGATGTTTTTAATTGGAGTGGAAGGGTAGTTAAAACCACATGCAGAACAGCATCGGTCCTGTGACCTTTTTTAAAGGCATTCAGAGTAAATGAAACCAATGTTGGGTCTGGTTTTCATTACATCTGGATCAGTAAGTGAACAGCTGGCCACGTTGTACTCTTCCTTTTAATTAACAGGAGACTTTGGCACCACTTGAACATTTTTTCGTGGCCATGAGAGGATTGCAAAGGGCATAGGTCGTTATAAGTTAGCTCGTGAATTCCAAAGCGTTTTACGGTCAATAAAGTGTTGCACGAACACGGCCTTCTTCAGCCCACTGCATCGCCTAAGAGTTTAAAACCTTTTATTGAGCAGTTACATTTCACACTCGAGGCTCATTTTCATAGTTCTTACAGTTGTGCTTATGGCGTTGGAGTCATTAGTAAATGAAGTAATCATTAAAGATGTTTATATCTAAATACAATAATAAACAGGCAGAATAAGAATTATCTACAGACAGGAAATGATTCTTTAGGCTGCAAGTATCTTTTATTTTCTTGATTAATAAAATATCATTAACTAGTTTTAAGTCCAACTTAAAGTCCAAAACCCCCAAAAAACTCATATGAGAAGCTGGAACCAGTGATTTTTCATTTAAACTCCAGCATTTAGTGTGAGCGTGCTTCTTCTCAGCTGAACGCAGACTGTCGCGTCTTCTACCGGTGGATGTAACGTCGTTGACCCCTCGTTAGAAGAGTAAAACAGCTTTTTGCTGTAAAGTTCTTGACTTTCGTTGTAGACGTTGGTGTCTTGTAGCGGCGTCTGTCGCACTGACTCAGCCATTCAGATGAGAGAACACACACGGTGTAACATCTTCAAGGCATTAATCACGGTCTAGTGCAGGCTAACATCCATCTCTCTTCCTCCAGCTCGGTTCAGATTTAGTCGGTGTCAAACTCTGCTGTTTTCACGCAGAGAGAAATCACCCGTCTCATTCCAGCACAGCTTTGCTTCATTTTACATCATTTATCACGCTGAAAGCTGTTGTTCACTGTGGGACATTTCCAAGTAAGATTGAAACCATGGTGCACAGATGCTTTGTGCGCACATCTGAGTTTGCAGTGTTGGTTGAGACTAAGCAATATTTGTGTTGATGTGTGTGTGTGTGTGTGTGTGTGTGTGTGTGTGTCTCTCTGTTTGCGGTGCAGGAGATGGAGGGGAGAATCCAGCATTTTAATACATTCCTGTGAGATGGAGAGAATACCGACTCAGGTAGATCCTGAACAGCGTGGGACCACAAAGACACACACGGACTGTGAAGGAGTTTCAAAGTCCAGCGCTCAACACAAGAAACACACACACACACACACAGAAAACCCAGCGCCCTCTTCTTGCTGAGAGGCGACACAACGAGGACGACGTTGAGGACAGAGACTTTCAATGGTGCTATCGTCTCAGGAACCTGGCCAGATCCAGACCCATTCTACACAAACCAAACTCCTGGAGGTGTGTCGGACACACACACACACACACACACACACACACACACACACACACACACACGAACCGTGACGGGCAACCCTGGTGCTACTCGGGTGCTATCGTAACTTTCATCCATGCTGCTCTTGGGACTACTTACTTACTTAACTTGGATGACTTGCAAAACCAACAGATCGGGTGATGTCACATCGCAACCTGGCCTCTTCCCCTCCGGAGCAGGCCGTGCATACACACACACACACACACACCCTGACACTTGGGTATGCATGTATTTTATACAAACACACACCCAGAAAAGCACATACTTACACACACACTCACCCAGATCGTCACCAGCAGAAGTGTGAATGCAGAGTGCCGCTAGGAGAGGACGGTTTAATGTTCTGAATCACTGAACCATGTTGCTGAGCCCGTCCCCCCCCCCCCCCCCACGAGTGGAATGCTTCGTCATAGCCCGGTTGTTACCACGCTCTTACGCGGCTCCATCTTGCTGCCATTTTAGCCACTTGATTTATTCGATATCTGAGCCGCCGTCGAGGATCCTCGCCCAGAACAATAGTTTACAAAGACGTTGTAGTGCGAACACACATTTGATGAGGTTAGCGCAGCAGGACCGGGAGCGATTATGTCCTCTTCATTACAGCGGCCGGCGGGTGTGGAGAGCCGGCGGCCCCCTCGGCATTCGGAGAGAGTTACTGGTGAACGAGCTGCACAGCGCCTGCAGGTCAGCTGCACGGCCACTTCTCTCATCGGCCACCTCTGGCGTTCTTAGCAGATTGTCATGTCCTGAACAGTTTGTGGTAGCCCCCCCCCCCCCTCTGCTCATTACATTCAGTCTTGAATGTTTCCCCTCCCACTCAAGCTGTGCCCGCCAGTTGATTCTCGCACCGACACCCCGGCCGAGGAACTGGAAGCAGTACCAATTGGAATGCGTCTAGAGATTGCACTGCCTAGTGTGTGCCTTATTTAAAGACCTCATATAAAACTGATATATTTCGCAGATTTTTTTTTTTTTTTTATTTACTACTTGTGACAATGAACCGGCTCCAAGTCTATGTGGGTCCTAACCACTGAGGTCCTTAAAGGAACAAACATATCTGTATTTAGGTCATTTAATAACCCGTCTAGGTTGTACATCTCCAGCCCGGGCCAGAAAACAAACAAATCCACATTTGAAAATCTGAATACAAGCGTAGGTTTCGAAACTTGCCTCCCGTGTCAGTGTTTGGCCAGATGCGTCCCAAGCACTTGACATGTTTTTTTTTTTTTTTCAATATTTAAATGTATTCACGCCCTGTTAAAAGCCAGACTTGTTGAAGAGGTCGGTCTCCACCCGAGCGAACAGCAGGTGTAAGAAGAGGTCGACAACACCAGCTTTCCTTCAGCTCTCCATATGCAAAACAATAAGTAAAGATAGATATGGTGCGAGAGTCACGCCGTGCCAAGTGACCAAGGTGCTGTCATAACGGTGGGACTATGGAAATGTTCTATTAGACGGTCATAACAACCTGTTATGTTGTGTATTTGATAATAATTTTTTACGGTTTTCTTTTTATAAAATGCTTTGCTTGAGTTGTGAACCCATAATGAACAAGGCCATTCTAGGCAGTGCCCGTCACTAAGGTGTATAAAGCATTACATGATTATTATTTTTGGTCCTCCTTTCAAATGCGTGTTCTGACTTTATGGATTTATTTCCTCTGTTTTCCTCCACACCAGTCAAGGGAAGCTGGATTCACATCTGTGTCTGACTGCAGTAGACGCAGGTATTTGCTGAAGCTTTACTGAGTTGTCGGGGCATCGTCGCGCTCTCTTTGGAGATGCCACACGTGGGCCGTCGTAGACTGAAGGAGGCTTCTTCTTTCACTCCTGACCCCTGACCCCCAGCTCACCTCTGCCTTCTCCTCACATTCTAGGTGACGAAAGCAAAGACCAATATGCAAACTGGCAACGACAGCTTAGCACTTGGACTACTGCAGAGAGAAAAACCAACGCTACCTCAGCTTAATTTATTTTAATCCGAAAACTGTTTACTGGGTACAAAAAACAAACCGACAGTATTTTCTCTCCCCCCGAAATACTGCTGCGACATCTCCAGTACCACCAAAGGTACCAGATCAGTGACACGCGGCTGCTGCAGTACTCCAAGAGTTGTTTGTGTATCTCTCCGATTGTTATGTACGTTTGCGTCTGAGCCAGATGATGATTGCATACATTTTAAGCATCCTTCATGGACTGTATATTTTATACTTTAGCTTCAGGTTCTCTTAACGTCCTTCATGTTATCGCCCTCATCCCTTCGTAGAAGCGTTCTCTGCCTCTTCTCACAGCCATCGCCTTTATTTCTAATTCAGTGTGCAGGTTTTCATCTCATGATTCAGATTATTTATTATTAAACACGTTTTTACACCTAATATTCAGTCAATTGTCTTTTTGTACGTTTTGAAATTTAACCAATCGGGAAGCGTTTTTAACAGTTTTTTGCTGAATTGCGTAGCGTTTGTGTAGCAGGTTTATTTGGCGTGTGTGTGTGTGGGGGGGGAATATAAAGGGTTTACAGGTCTCAGGTTCAACACGCGACAACAACTTTTCTATTTATTTCATTGTTCTGGTGTTTTTGTTTAAGACTGTGGCATACTGGAAGAGACTAACAGGACGCAATAGACGCTCCAAACGCCCCGGGAAGAGAAACGGGACCAGACTAATGTTCACTTTCTCTCCACGTTCTGCCACAAGAGTTATTTTTAATGAATTTAGTAACGCATATGGAAATCAAATATGGGTAGTTAAATGTCATACATTGCGATCTTCCTTTCTTATTATAAATTGTAGCCAGTTTGGACTAACAACCAATTTTTGTCTGGTAGTTGAGACTACTTAGTCCAGTGTGCAGAGGGAGCGTTTGTTCTGTCCTCACTCCGTTCTGTCCCATTGTTCATGTTGGTGAAGCCTTCCCCCGTAGCTCTGTCCCTTCTGTCCCTTTGTGAATTTAACACACCTGTTTCGCAATTGTTTTAGTGTAAGTTATATTTGAAATGAAACATTTACTGTATTTCTCAAATAAACTGCTGTGATATACTTGAATAAAAAGGTGCAAACTGTATATTTCAAGTGTTGTTTTTTCTTGCAGTAAATACAGAGAGGAACTCCCACCTGTAGTTTCAGACTACTATACCCATCGAAGCCACAGAGTCGCATCTTCTTTAATATTCCAGAACATGTGCTCGACACCCATGTTCTGTGTTGAATACAGATGAGAAGCCCGTACATTGAGAACATAAGATATTGATTGTACCAAAGAAAAGACGTGACGACGTGTTCATGTTCTGGTATATGTATTAGTTTTCAATAATAATTGGTAATTTCTCCTTTTTGGGTACAGATTTACAGACATACCATTTTGAATCCAACCTATCAGTTTGCTTTTTTTCTAAAAACATTTATACAGAATTGCCTTCAGGTTTTTAAAATATACATTTTTCCTTCCTGTATTTACACGAACACCAACCCCGAAACACTTGAGGGTTGCAATGAACCACGTTGTATAAAACAAAAAGAAGGTGGAAACATGAGACTTAAAGCAGGGATCAACAGATAACTACGATAACAGTCACAGGTGATTATTGTGCTTTTTTTCCTGGAGGAACTGTCCCAACTTGAACATCTGATCAGAGGTCAGCGGAAATGAGGATTGCTCTCGCTCTCGCTCTCTCGATGTAGAGCTGCGAGTGTGAATCCAGGGGAGGAGAAGACAAGCCACTCATCCTCCAGATGAAACTTCACAAGAACAAAGAAAACATACAGATTTTCTCTTTAAACCCTACCTGACCCAGATATAATGGGTTTACCGATGTTTAGCAGGTCGTTAAAAGAACTGGGTTACACAGAGTTCATAATCTGGTTTTGAAATTAGCTCATAAATCCACACTCTGTAGGAATCCCGCCTCCCGACACAGTAGAGGGAGAGAGAGAGAGAGAGAGAGGAGAAGCTCCTCACGCACTGACAGAGAGGAACACACTCGGTGGAATCCTTTCCTTCACGTGTCCTCCTGTCCTGTAGATGTCACGACTAAATGAAAATGTTTATACACCACAAAGAAACTAATGAATGACCGACGCCTGTTGAACGTAATTCTGAAAAAGGGACAAATGTGGATCTTCAGTGCGCTGAGCCCGAGTATACTAAAGGAATATGGTTTACAGAGATCTGGAGACGACAGAACTGAAACAATGACTTCATTGAAAGAACCAAGGACTTTGTAGTTTACTAAGAGGGACCCCTGTGCCTGTTGGATGAGAGGATGAACTACCACCATGACACATACAGTACTGGAGGTTAGGTATCGTCACCTGACATGGCTGAGTAGTTGAACATGAGTACATTCTGCACAGGGCTTGTTTTTTTTTTTGGGAGGCGGGACAAGTAACAGAGCGGATGGATGCTGGCGTCAAGTCCAGAGGTCGTGGACTGACAGCCGCCCCCCCTGGCCCTAAGCTGCCGTCGCACATCGTCCCACACCCGGAGCTCAGCTGGTGTTCGCTGTCGACCCGGTGTGACCGGGTCCGGGTCCGGGTCCGAGGCCCCCCTCCCTCCCTCAGCCGCTCTGAATGTACTTCTTGATGACCACGCAGCCGTGTCTGAAGAGCGGGCAGGGCAGCGACTGCAGGAGCGTCCAAGTGTTGGCGCAGGGGTCGAAGGTCTCCATGTTGCCGAGGGCCGGACCCTCGCTGCTCACGATGCCTCCTGTGGCGTAGACCTTCCCGTCCACGATCACAGCGCTGCAAAGGTAGACACAGTTAGTCTTTTTTTAAAAGTTAGAATTTTAGTAATACGTGTATCTGCTTTCAGTGGAGGGTTCGATGATTGGTTGATCTGTTGAATATGAAGCTAGTTAACTAAGCAGCTGGCCTCGCTCCGTCAACACAATATGCCCACCAACACCCCTAAAGCTAAACAATTAACTCATTTTGATGAAATATTATACTATTGACTACCTTTTAACAACATTATGACTTTTTTATGGCATGCTACCGTGACTTTTTATGGAATTCTATACTGTACTGTACCCTTTATGGCACACTATGCTTTAACGTTAACTTGCTGATCGGTGCCTGAGATTGTTTGGCATCGCTCACACATGCTGCCGACGTGCCCAACAAGGCTATTTTGTGTGGCAGGGGGGGGGGAAACACACACACACACACATACATTAGATTACCTCTTGAGGGCGAGAGAGAAAACTAATGAAAAAGCAAATATCTCTACAAATGTTCTCATTTGATATGAGAAACAGAAACAGGAGTTTGTGTGAGGAAAGGATTAAAACTTAGGCTGTAAGCTGATTAGGGCTTTGTGCTCCTGTTGGGGTTTGGAACAATCTGCATTTACATAAGGTGCACGCTGAAATACACACATGCAGTCCTATTGCACACATTCACAACACTGTCGGGAATGTAACAGATTATTACATAAAGCCTAAATCTACTCGGAGAGTACGCACAGCTGATCCAAAAATAGGGAAGAGCGCAGGGCAAAGCCTGGAGCTGCTCTTACTGATAAACAGAGGGGTGGTGCAGGCCTGCAGAGAGCCGGACGCAGCGAGGGGAGGGCATCAGCTCTCCTGCATGATGACCTGCTAGACTTCCTCCTCTGTGCAGGGGCGTGCACCGCAGATAGCGCCGTTTCTGAGCATCTGTGTGTTTCTCTTTTGGCAGCTCTGTGTGTTTGTTGTTGTTGCTTCCATCCTTTTTTTCCCCCCGCATCTCTCTCTCTCTCTCTCATCAGACTTAGTTAAATGCAGCAGAACAGCTGCCTGGCGCGTGCTGCTGCTGCTGCTGCAGCTTATCGATAACTCTGACAACGTGATTTATGTTATACATTCTGCACATAACAACACGGCCTGTAATTGCATCCCACATGTATTTTGTGCTTCTTTCTTTCTCAGATTATGCAAAAGGGGAAAAAATAAGGGTCTTGGGCCTCTTTTTTAGGAACAAACTTAACTCACTTAAATATGTGCAGAGAAAAATACAAATGAATCATATCTCAGCACAACACATAATGATTCAGTGCTTTGAGAGAAACAGACAGCGCTACGTCTAATCGAGCAGACGCGTCTGGTTTTTGTCAGCGTGACGGATGACACTACTGATCCAGCCGTTTAAAAACAACACAATGAATTAGAAACTAGTGTTTCTAACGAGGCAGAAGTTTCACAGCCAGGATGCAGTGTGTTGGAAACAGTCAGCGCAGGTCATTTTGTTTTAATTACCTGCTTACCCATTATGACACAAAGACGGATCTAAACTTGAGTCTTAAATAGTATTTGAGGCTGGCTGATGATGTCGGGGTTTTAGAAGCTTCACACAGAACAGGCAAACAATTGGAGCTTTTGAACAATCTTTACAATTCCACGCTGGGGGATTTAACTTCCGTGTGTCACGGCTACATTCATAATCTGTTACCTGCAGAACTGCCGAGAGTGATTCATGTTGGGACCAGCCTTGATGTTGCCTTTGTCTGGGTCGTAGATAGTGGTGGCTCGAGCGTAGGCTCCTCCCAGGATGAATATTAAACCGTTTAGACTCACTGCAGGGGCGTATTTGTTATCTAAAGATATGAGGGAGAGAGAGAGAAAAAGGTTTAGAGATTTTTGCTGAAGAAATCACAGAGCTATTGTTTGAGTGTCATTCTCGCATGCAGCAGACGTTTCCATTCAGTACAATGGCATCAATTTGTTTTTCTTTACTTCTGTTCCCTCTTCAGCACCCAGGCCGCATGCAGAAACCATCATCAACATTCTCCTTATCACTTTTCAGATGTGTCATTCTCAAGATTGCTTTGGGGGGGGAAAAAAAGTATAGAGAGAATGGATGGCAAACCGGTGAAAGAGCGGAGTTCATAAATCACTGTGGCTTTATTGGGTTCTGCTCCGAAATATGTTTGGGCTCAGCCGCAATATAAAAGAGTTACCTAAGTCCCAATAATTCACAATTGCATTACGCCCTCTGGCACATCTATAGATTCACATCTGCGCACATGTATTGGGAATATATGAGTGAACAGGTGGGATACTGCAAATGTGCATACTGTATAATTCAATCTGATACAGTACGGAGCACAAGAGGAAAACAAAGGCATTGAAGCAGCACCGCTGTAGAATTATGGATGATGGGGAAACAAAATGAAACAGTGGTTTGTGCGGAACAATGCCATTGGAAACCTGCAGCTTGCGAGCACCAGTCCTGCTGTGTGTGGAAGAGGAAGTGTGTTTCAAACTCAGAGCAATTCCTCCCGAGCAGTCTGCAGCTGGCCAATTTACAAGCAGCATGAATAATGCACCGACACTTTGGCCGTGAGCCGCCGTCCTCGCTGTTTTCTGCCACGACGGACAGACATCCCTCACTGAAGACGGGCAACAGGAGGAGGAACGTCTGACGCCTTAATAATAACGACGTCATTATTAAGGCGCCCCCCCCCCCCCCACCACCACCACCACCACCCACCACCACCACCACCACCACCACCACACACTCGTGTAGTGGAGCCACCTCCCCCTCGTCTCCGCCTCTCCTCCTGCTGCTGACAGCAGTCCGACATGTTTAATTAACAGGTCACCTCTGGAGGCGAGAGGTGTTTCTGCAGGCTGACACTCTGAATGAGCTGCACTGCGTTATGTTTTCAGCTACTGCACTTCAACTCCTAATGTTCTGTAACAACAAGACTAAGACATGCATGCTTATAGTCAGATTTATAAAGCTGCACATGCGCATGGTTCTGCTTTATGAATCTCAATCATCAGTTCTCTATGAATAATCTTAAACATCCAGGTGCATATTGACACCGTGGCCCACTCCACCACTCATTAGACGTGTCAATGAGAAGAATTGCAAAGTAGAAGTGTAATTTCACAGATTGCGTCGCATCAACGACATTCTCCGACAGCGTTACGCCCGGCTGTGGCTGTTTAGAGACCCCATACCACCAATCCATCACACGCACCTAAACCATCACCGCAGAAGCAACTCAATCATTATTATTAAATGTCAGAAGGGTGATGAATATTTAATTCATAAAATATCTATATCACCTTTATCTAATTTATAATACAACAGACCACCAACGTGCTTCATAATTCAGGATACGATGAAAAAATCATCAACAGATTAATGGAAATGAAAACGAATGGATGGAATTCATCACCCATGAATCACTTAAAATGACATTTAGAAACCTGTGTTTGGCACTTTACAGAAAGACAACAATCAGTGATGAACAACTTAAACAATGTTTTACTCTAATGCTACATCTCTCTCCTTATATCTAATCTTCTCCTTGTCACAACCATGTATATGCCCGGTCTGAGGAATGCGTGAAATGTGCACATTCTCACTGCATAATCTTTTCTATATATAGGTACCAGTTTATGTGATAAATGGCGTATGCATGCTTTATGTACCTGACCCTAAAAGTAGAGCTTGGGAGGCTACACTCCCGTATAGCAGTGCGATTAACTAAATGCTAATGCTAGCATGCTAACATGCTCATAATGACAATGCTTACATGCTGGTGTAAGGTTCCATGTTACCATGTTCACTATCCTACTGTAGCATGTTAGTATACACACATTTACTTATCATCCCTAAACACAGTACAGCTGAGACTGATGGGACGATTCATCCTCTTGGGACCATGAATGTCTGCACATATTGTCATGGTACGTCATAATTCTGACTGACTGACAAAGAGATGAAACAAAACCCACTGAACATTAGCCTGTAAATGACTCCATGCAGTTGTTTCATGTGTACAGAAATCTATTCTGAAATTCCACTGCAACCATCTGAGGCATCAGCTTCAATTTCACCCCTTGAGAAACAAGTTGCCACTGATTGGTCCTCCTCACATTCTGCCTGACGTGTTTATGTTTTTTCCTTTTACCTTCTTCTCATTGATATGCCGCTGCCGAGCATGCGCATGTGCTCGCGCGTGTGCGCCAGCATAAGCGTGTGTACATGATGTTTTGTGTTAGGTCCCATAAACACAGAACACTCATTTCTCTCTGCTCGGCGCCTGAGGCAGAATAATAACAGGATGCTCTCAAAGGAAAAACCTTTCTCCCCACAGAAGCTCTAACCACTGCGTCCTGCCTCTCTCCCGTGGACCCACGGTAAGCAACGGGTAGGAGTGCTCGGAGAGGTACGAGGCAGGTATACCTCATTCTCATTTGGCTAATCTCAAAGGACTGCTTTGGGGTTTCAACATCTCTTCGCCACTTTGCTTCTGCTGCTGTCCCCTGGCCTTCGCCGCGGAAAACAAGCCGGTTCTGCCTTAACAATGAGATACAGTTAAGAGCACACAAGTACAAGCTGAAAACTTTCAAATTCTGAGACACATCTTGCTATTCTGCGAGACTCACAATGGACTTTGTCTCGCTTCACATCTCTGATGTTAGAAAACTCGGCCAAGAATCCACAACTGACCACGTTCTACATGAAACGGGGAAGTGGAAAAGACAGCAAAACGAGGTTTTAACACGGCAGCGGCGATAGAAGTACAGCTGTGCCTGCGGGGCGACACGGGCTGACGCAGCCTCTCACACTCTGATAAAACAGCTTAGTCACCGAGTCTGGGTCCCCTCGGGCTGGGGTCAAGGACAGCAAACAAATGAAAACACACACAAACACACGGCTATGATGAAATGTGCGGCTGCTGTCTAAACAAACACCTTGCTGTTCCCTCGCATCCGTTCCTATCTGATCCCTGCATCATCAACACAGCAGATATCTGATTCTACAAAACCAGAACACTCCCACAGCGATAACACGCACGCACACATACATACCACTAAATTATACCAGCACTGTATACTGTACAGATCTAGATAAGACTCCTCTCTCCGATAAAGACTCCCAAACATGTCGTCATCACAAAGCTGCGGCATTACAGCAACATGGAAATGTGGTCAGTCACAGGCGGAGGAAGAACAATAAATAAGGAATACACAAGACATTGTCCTCTGAAAGACGGGGGGGATGAAGTGCTGGGTACCCTGTTACTGTGTCCCCCCCAGAGGGCACGGGGGAACAGGAGTAAATAGGACAAAGAAGCAGCAGTTCTTGCTGCCAGAAGCTTAGATAAGATTACAACAAGGTAATTGGAGCGGCCAAAACTTTTTCTTTTTCACACAATGTCCTTGTATGTAATGTGAGGAGAATAAGAGCAGCCTTTAAAATGATGGGACAAAAAGAGCAGAGGATGATTTCATTTAATTAAGTATGATGGAGAACGGGTGGGGGTGGGGGAGGGGGTCCAATTAGGTAGCGATGGAAACACTCCACCTTCACCACATCTCTTGCTCTGACATGTTGTTCCCCTTATCCTCCTCCAGCTCCATAATGACGCTCTCAACCGCCGTGCCTGGCTGATATGTAATTTAAGCAAGTAGCTGTTCTGCTGTCAATTTCCTGATAAAGCAGTCTGGCCGCAGCGCCTCTGCTTTGGAGACGAGCATTCGATGCAGACCTGTCGGTCTGCAGGGGGACGCACTCAGGGTGAAGTATGGTGTTTGTGTTTTCATGTGGATCTGCCTGAGATGATGAGTGAACAGATGTGTGATAGTTTTTTCAAATGGTCACTGTACCAAAATGATGCATGTCTTAGTATAGTGTGTCATAAACAGTCCTGATGAAGCAGATGCAGAATATGTATTGTTAGAGGATTATTAAAGATCTACCGCTCAGTTTAATATCCATCATGACATATTGGAGGGGAATGGAATGAAAAACTAAAATAATAATCACCAATATCTCCTCATTCAATCTACACTATTCCAGAACCAGTTCCCCAATTACTCCATAGAACACACTATGAACAGTTCTGGTAGTTCCCATTTCTTCAGTAGCAGTTAGTGTATTAAAGAAAGGCATAGGACAACATCCCAGCAAGGGCTCGTGTCAGGTACTGTATGACATTTAAAAACAAGATGAGTGTAAAGCCATGTGGCTCTGTAAGACTGCACCTGCACTCACTCATGCTTAATTGCATTTTAATTGGAATTTGAATTAGAATTTAATTTTCAAATTTATATTATTTTAATTAAGTCTCCTACGGGCTTCGAAAAAATGCTAATGTCAGCATAGTAAGGTGTAATGTTTAGCATGCTGGCACACTGAACTAAGGTGGTGTGAGCCTGTTAAACATTACACCTTAGGATGCTGACATAAGCATACGAGTACAGCAGGGGAGGATAGGACTGTTACTAGCTCTGTAGATATCCGGTCATCAACTTAAGTGTTGAACAAATTGAAATTGTGTCCTGATGGCTTGAAGATGGATAGAAACTAACGGGATCACCAACGTTGTTACAAGTCATCATGAGGGGAACACGGATGTCACACGTGCCTGCACAAAAGTGGTGGACTGACAAACACAACATTTCCATCCCCGAGCCATGCAGCTAGCGTGACCCAAAAAACATGTTCTGTAATCAAAATAGAAAACACAAGTTCCATAAGATAGGGCCACTAGTTCTTACTAAAGATGGCATATTCTCTGTGTGGGAAGACGACGGCTAGAAGACTCTGTCTTTGACTTGACGTGATTTTGGATATTCAAATCTCTATGTTTTTTGTGAGAGAACATAATGAAACATATGGGAAAGTGTCCTCACACCACACTGTGCTGCAGTATTAAATATAAGACTGAATCACAAAGGCTTATGGATTTTCCCGAAATGTTATTTTCTCTACACAAACAAAGTTCCTTTCACCTTGTGCTGCCTTGACATTATGGTTATTTGGGTGAACTGACCTTTTAAGGTCAAGTCGAGAGACTTTATGAATTGTTAACTGCATGTGAGGGGACTCAATTATGCTCCCATGTTTCAGTGCATGCTGCTCAGTAGACGGACGTATTGAAGACAAAGGAGAGTAATGACGCTGCCGAGACACGAGGCACCTCGATAGACTTGTTGAAGGCACTATTTCTGGCATACGGAATATTATTTTTCACTCTGCAAGAGATAGGAAGTCAGTCCTGATAAGTGTTTGTGAAACCCATTTGCAGTTCATGCGGGAGATTGGTCCATGCAGAGGGAAAACACATACGCGCACACACACACACACCCACACACACACGACTGTATTTGTGTCAGTCGATAAGACAGTGCTGAGAGACCGCGAGAGAAGGAGGGGTGAGGCGTGCGGAGGGGGAGACAGTGAGAGGGGAAAGAGAGAGAGAGAGAGCGATAGAGGGAGGGATGAACAGAGAGATTAGAGGGGGAGAGCGATGGAGGGAGGCAGAGGGTTGATGGAGAAGCGCTCCCCACCGGCTCACTAAAATCATCGCCGGCCCAATTTCACAGGAAGCACTAAACCTGTCCATTATCTGCCGGCTCGTTGGCTGTCAGACGCAGGCTCATCCACACCCTGACAGATGACGGTCCGTCTGTCTGCGTCTACCCTTAACACACAAAGAAAAAGACAAACACCATGCACGCATGCACGCACACACACATACGCAAATGTGGAGTAACCTCCTGGCTCGTTACATAATTCATGCACTGTGTACCTGTGCCTCTGGGGGATGTATAGTTGGTATGAGGTGAGGACAGGCTGTGTGTCTGTATCTCTGTATGTGTGTGTGTGTGTGTGTGTTTCTCACCAGTATTTTTCTCTTATTCCTCCTCTGCCAGCTGCTCTGTCAGCCCTTTAATACCATACTGCTCTCGCCCCAAACACCCGCATTACATAATCATAATTTCGCTCACAGTAGCCTTGCTCTAAAAAGGCACTAATATCGGAGAGAAGGTTTCTGGGCACCAGTGTGGAGGGAAGTGCCTCGGCACCGGCGCTTTAATGACCAAAACAACTTTGTGCGAGGAAACATTTGAATTCAAATACATTTCTGACCCAGTGTTTCTCTCTGACGCGCTGAGTAGTGCCTGCAGCAACAGTGTGCCACCGTTTGGGATATTAATTATATTTTATAAAAGCAGCATTTGGGACAGCTCTATGCCCTGAGAATCCACCATTTGCCAACATCTTAAATAAGATAATCCAGCATGAAATATAGAATTTGTATTCGTGTGGAAAGTGAATTTAAATGAACATAAACATAGAGGGGTTTTAAGCTTTCTGCTGCAGCTTTATAGGAATCATTTGACATTTTTAGAAATACCCGTATTCACTTTTTGGTGGAGAGTTCAGGTTCATCTCAATCTTTTCATCTAACTCTTCATAAATAAGCAAATAAGCATATTTCCTATTTCTGAAACACAAGCAATGCTATGGGTTTAAACGGCGCATGTGTGTATATGTGTGTAATAGTGTTGTCCAGGCCCAAATATTAAAGACTCTGATGATATGTTCAAATCAATAGCAATCATCTCTGTGCGGCACCGTTCAAGGATATATTTTTGTGAAAATAAACCTGCCTGTGGATAAGATCTCCACAGTGGGAACACAGCTGTCAGTGCTTCTGAATCACGCTGAGTTTTACACGGTGTGTTCTTCCTGCTGTCTGGGAGTTTTGGCAGAGCTTACTTAAAGTGTTTCTTCTGGTCCTGTGTCCTTCACGGGTCCCTTGGTGGCTCTGACTGGGATGTGGCTGCAGAGTTTGTGCGGTGAATAACTACGGAGTTTGGCCAATAACATGTCAGAAGCTGAGGTCGGACCCACCTATCATTTCAGCTGTGGTCTTCTCATTATAACGACAGAGCATGAAGCACTTAGTACATTTAATTGTAGGAAGTGCTTCATGTTCCCTTTGCACTTCCTACCCTTAAATGTCTGTACGTCTGGACATCCCACGTTGACATGTTGGCCAATTTACTGGAGTTTATATCAAAATCTTCCACGTGCTCCTCGGATTCCTCCTCACAAAGTCGTCTACTGTGCGACGACATGTTGCCTTCAAATGGCAATCGGGAGTTCACGGGTTTTCGTCGCAAGAGGTCGAGCACGCGATGTGGAAGATATGCGAGCGGGTGGAGTTGTGAGGACACTGTTGCTAGGCAACCGGGCAACCATAACGGAGGCCTCAAAGACTCTCTAATGAGATAAAACGATGTCAATGCCGAGGATTAGAGGAATCCGTGCATATGAATGGGTACGGTAATATTGCGATATGTGCCTTTTGTAGTTTTGGTGCCACATTATTAATAAAAAGCAAACATTATTATTCATGTTTTGTTTTTTTTGAGCGTTTAATTGTCTTGCAAATACGCAACACGTCCCCTGAGGACATACCGTCTCCACACTGTGCTGCAGCTTGTGTGTGAAAGTGTGTGTGTGTTGTCACCTGTCTTACCTATCATGGGGGATTCGATGAAGCTCCACGTGTTGCTCCGCGGTACGTAGGACTGGAGGACACCCGCCGAGCGGCCGGCCTCGTTCACGCCTCCGAACACGTAGACCTTCCCTCCGCACACCGTGGCTGCCGCAGAATGGACCGGCTTGGGAAGAGGACAAACCGTCTCCCACTGGTTGGTGATGGTGTCGTACCTGGAGCGCAAAAAAATAATAATCTTGTTTTTGCTTTTCTACACCATTATAGTTGTTTGCAACTCGGATGAATTTGAATTAAAAGCAAAAGCAAAAGCAATCAAGAGAAAATCAAGGTTCCAACTTCACCACACTTCCATTAGACAGATCCACGATGGGGAGTCTTTAAATTACCTAAATTCTAATGATTCATAAGCTATTCTCACACTCTGCAGTCAGTCATTTACATCCACACGTACACCAATAGCATACAGGAACACTCCCACTGCTCTGAATTTGCTGTGAAATGCTGGTTTTGGCTGCAGGGCTGACAGATATAATTAGCAGAATGCCTACACCACCAGGGAAGATGAAAAAGACCCACCATTACGTACAATGACAGCAATTAAAGCAATTACACAAAGCAACATATGTCGCGAGCTACAAACCATTAGTCTCTGGAGTTGGGCTGTGTGTCAGCGCTGAGCTTTGGACCTTTCTCACTGAGCCCTCTTTGGCAGAGACTTCGACTCCGGGCCTAAATCTCAGCCGACCCAAACCGGCACGAACGGATGAAAGGGCCCGACACAATGGGCTGCGTGACAACAAGACACTGGCTTATGCGCCTGTGCCCTTGTCAGAGGTTGAGTGTGCGGTAGTATGTATATTTCTTAAATTTGTGTGTGTGCTGCATTGTGTTTAGACGTGTGTGTGTGTGTGTGTGCTTTTTGCCCCGTGGCTCCATTAGCGTCGTGTGTTAGCAGTGTAATCCTGTGTCCATGGGCCACTGATCAAAGCAGCCGCGTCGACAGCCTTCCAGCTGGGGAGGGCCTCATTACAGAGCTGTGATTAAAACACGCATCTATTCAGACTAAAGCAAGCCGTCTCAATCAAGGTTGTCTCGTTGTTGCAAAAGAAAAAAAAACACCTTTGCGTGAAAAACTGTCGCAAATGTTCCCCTGGGATAACGAACCTTCAATATCAAACACTTACTTCCATCCTGTCACTTAAAGACAATTAAAGTATGGATTTCTCTTGAGGTCAATGACCTCCTTTCACTGAGGACGTTTGCAAATGTATTTTTCAGTCTATGGATGCTTTACTGCTGCAACTCTTGTGTCATTTGGGCTGAATTTAAAAGACACCAGCTCTGTTTGCGACCCCCCTTTTCCACTGAGAAGGGCTGTAAGATAAAAGATTAAGAGGAGACAAGCAAATTAGCCTTTGGGAATAAACTCTTCGGGGGTCTGATAATGTTCTTGGCAACACCTACTGAGGGGATGGGGCTTAAATCGACTGGCAGAAAGCGGAGACATAGACGACACTCTGGGAGACGTGGACTCGAAACCCTCAAGAGTGCCAATTAGCACTGTTTAAACATGGACACACACACACACACACCAGCATCAGGTTGAGTAACTGAGCCCTGCTGAGATAGAAGGACTAGCATGCGTCTCATTCTCTGGCAGATGTAATTACCCCTCGGACCACATCGGAGGAGGTTCATAAATGTACGGGTCAGACACTGCCGAGAGAGGCTGATTACCTGAGAAACAGGACGACTGCAAACATCTGGTCAGGATGGAAAAAGATCCTCAACAACTCCACTCACATCTTTACTGTTAAAGCTTATTAGCTACACATTCTGAGGGATGCGATCATAGAAATAATGTCCTTAGATTACTCATTCCTTCAAATGTGGTTTCAGATCTTAAGCTTTACATGAGAACCGTGTGTGTCTGTATCGGTCAGTGCACAAACGTATTACTTAATATCAACTTTTATGACACACAGTAGTATACTATGACATTTTATGGCATATTACTCCATATTTTTTTGATTGCATACTATACTCTGAATTTTTTAAGACACAATATTTGCTGACTTTTTTTATAAAATACATTTATGTCATTTTTACAACTTCTACGAGTTTTTAATGAAATACTACACTATGACTTTTTATGACATACTATGATGTTTTTATGGCGTTTTTTGACGTACTATACTAATAATGACTTCTATTCTATACTATGACTTTTTATGACATACTATACTATAACATGGCATAGTAATTCATTTCAATTAATTTACAAACCTAGCTCACTTCTTTGTCATTTTCATGGCATACTACTTTGAGTCGTGTTCTAGCGGTTCTTCAAAATAAAAGTCCTCTGCTACTATCATCTCATGCTCACGTAAGACCCCACGGCACAGCTATCATGCCGTCAAAGCGATCAGGTGTTCTGATAAAAAGGAACATGTGCAGGTCAGAAGAAACTCAGTGTCTCAGTCAGTCTCAGAGGTCATGAATCTGATTAAATTCATTACATGTGTGATTCACCATCAAGCATTTAATATGAAACGTGACATTAGGACTGACACTAAAGAGATTCCCTGAGTGGCTGTATAAGGTTTCATTCTATCACCACGGAAGGAGAATACATCTCTCCTCTTAACTCTGAAGCTCTGCGTCAGACAGATGCTTTTTCGTTGTCAGTAAGACACCGTTGGAGTTTATCCATCAACATGTTGCACTGCATCGATTGCGTTTTTCTAAAGTGTGTATACACAAAGACTGATCACTGCATGAAGCCGTGTAATCGGCTGTTGCTCCTGACAGGGCTTGTTTCATCACGCAGGGACAATCATCTCCAAAATGCGGCTGCAGGGTTACAGCAGAGCGAACAATGTGGGATCGGGTTCTTTTATGTCGGGAGACAGACGGAAAGAACAACAGATGTGAAGAGGAGAGATTATGAATGAAAGAAAGAGGCCATACTTTCAACTCCATTTGCCTCCGAGTATTTACGGTGATCTGAATAAAGGGAAACAAGTTCATTTATCGCCGCACACGCTGCGACTGACATAGCAAATTGTGTGAGTAGTAGTAGTTATACTTCGATGTCAGCCAGGCCTAAAGAAGAGCCATGCTCAGGGACGCACCGGTCCCACTTAAAGCAGTACCAGCTACTGTCTCTCTGGCCTTTGTTCTCCACGGACCCGTCTGGATAGGAACCATGATGTTTGATTACGACAGGTGAAGTCGGACAGCTGCCGTGGAAAGGTACAGTCACACCTGCCGTGTTTGTTTATGTTGACAGCAGACGGATTTTCAATCCCTGCTTGCGATGCTCTGCATATCGCATATGAAGAATTAGATCCGACCTTAATATGCCGGTCTGCAGCCTACAGTATGCAGAGATACCAGGTGTTAAATACAAGGCTGGGGGTGGATTGTGTATTACCTGAATGACTTATTCACACATAAAGCACATATTAGTATGCCCCAGCTAGACTCATTACAAGAGCATATTACACGATTTCTTGCATATCTGCTTTGGTTCTACTGTTTGTATCTATTCTATGCTTTGGAGTAGATTCAAAATTCTCAGTAGGGGTGACATCTAGCTCCCTCGGAGTGTGTGCCCCTCTGCCAATATTCGTTGTAATCAAGTAACATATAACCCAGTTCAACACCGAGGTTCACTGATGTGTTAAAAGTGTGTGTTGCAGTTGGCTCGACACAGACAATACTTGTTCATAAGATCAATTACTTGTAGAATGAAGAATACGGTCAGCCTTATCCTTTAAAGGCATCATAGGTCTGGCTGCTGACTATATATTTCCGACCTGCTGACAACGTATGAGCACAAGTGAAGGTCTCTGTTTTAGTAATTTGCAGGTGAGGGTAAAAGACTGAGCCTTGCAATCAGGGCCAATCGACTCTGGAGTGACCTGTTGGACGGGATCAGCTGAGCTAGCTCTTGACCTCCATTTAAGTCTCATTTTATAATACATTATTTCAGATTTCCCTCCTCCTCTTTAAGATTGTTTTCATGCTGCACCTAAGATCCGTTTCTGTCTGCACGTGGGTGTCACCAGCTAAGACTGTGTCACTCGGTGCCGACGTCACCGCAGACGAGCTGAGAAAATGTGGACGCAGATGCCCCTCGGGCCCCTCGCTTTGTAACATCAACTAGGAATCATCTGAGTCAGAGAGCATACAAATGAATGGATGCAGTAAAGCGCTGTTATGCAACCTTCCATTGGATTTGCCTGGTGGCATTACACATCTGAAAGCCTTGTGTGTGTGTGTGTGTGTGTGTGTGTGTGTGTGTGTGTGTGTGTGTGTGTGTGTGTGTGGGTGTGTCATCTTGTTTTTCTCAGTTTATGGAAAGTAATATCATGTGATACAGGAAGTCAAGATAGCATTAAACAATGAATGCATTGGTTAACTGTACGAGTTTAACTGACTGGTAATGACTTTGGCAAATTTAGAAATTCTTGACCAATGCCTGCCTCTTGAAGCTGACCACATACCCTCCACCTTTTGACCATGACCTACATAGACCAGCCAGCTGTCTACAAGCCACGGAGAAGGCACACCAAGCATCTGAGCCAATTCACTACTACCTGCAGGGGGGTGTGGATGACAGGCCTGGCTTTTACCTCTCCGCCTCTCCCTTTCACACACAAACACAAAGATATGATGAACTTCAATAGGTGGGCTGCCTGTCTCTGAGATCCTGACACATATCCGCTTCCCCTGAGACACAAACTACAGCATGTATAGAGTGAGAAACGTGAGTGCGGAGCGGTGGGGAGTAAGGAGGAGGAAAGAAAAAAACTGCCTCGCTCAGATAACAAAACCACTGAGGCTCTATGTACCTCGACGCTGACAAAAAGATCCATTAAGTGGCAAAAGAGTGCATCACGCTGCAGTTAAAACCACCCTGGAATGCCATGCAAACACTGATTGCCTAACAATAGCTACAGTATCCCCAACACTAGCAATTAAAATCCTTGAGAGTCAAACAGCTCGTAGTGGAAGAGTCAAGAAAGCCACGAGGGCTGTACCAAATGTCTGTATTGTTTTTACATTCAAAGCTTCTATTGAATTTTTTCGAATGAAGATTTGGACGTTTTCGATCTATTCAGTTCAGCCCCTAAAAGACAACGCCAACAAAACCTGCAATCACAAACAGGTCCACAACAACAGCATTGTAGCCTTTAAACACTGA